AAAGTTTTAGTGTCTATGGGTATAAAGAAACGATACAATCGAGTCAGTTACAAAGTCAGTGTAAACAGCAAGGAAATTGGGGTACGTCACGGCGTTCTCTATAGAGAACGCAGTGGGTACGTTCAATTTACTAGATCACGCAGTGAAATACAATAACAAAATTTGTATTGACCGCTCCCTGTATTGCACGCCTATTTTGTATAGACTATACCTTTAATTGCGATAATATAAGTTAATGTTTGGCTTCTGAACAAAAATCGAATAAAATATTGTTAAGAATCCATGTAAAAATTTAAAAGCAGCCCAACTGAAAATCGCCATATTGCCCTATTGAATGGTCTGCCGCAAAACTAAAAAGAATCTGCGTTAATCATTAGGATTTGGATCAACTAGATCTCTAAAAAATATGGCCGATCTTTATAAACTGACGTTATGGCATAAATCCAAAAATGTTACAAGTGAAACGAATTGCATCTTAATACCGCGTACTAAAGAGTAGTACTAGAAACTAAGGACTTGTATACACTATTCAGATATTAAAATTAGTCTCTACATATTTCAACAAGATGCGACCAGCTCATTGTGTGGCAGCCACAATGTTTGTGTGTAAAAAACACCTCAAAATATAAAATTTATAATCCATTGATTGAATAATGGTCTACGAGAGGTGGCAGTTCATTTATTTAATAAAAAATTATTGCTTATTTGGAAAAGAATTTTGGGAAAATCTGTAAAAGATAATTAAGTTTTTTCGACGGTTGTGCTACTCAGCATAAAATAAAGTTCAATTTTAGAAATCTTTTTTTCAAGAATTTAATTTTGGGGTAAAATGGGAGTTATTTTGTTACTTAAGGTTTTTTTTAAATATTTATGTTTGTAAAAGGATTGACCACAACTTTAGAACCTCAAAAGTTTTAATTAAATTCGGCCAAGGAGTGGCTAGGGCTTGTATGTAAATTTAGAATAAATTATGAAGTAAGATATAATAATTCCTTGGTATTTTTTCGACAAATAGGTTGCACTCTTCCATTAACAAGTTACAATGTTTTAACGTATGCATATGTCAGGAATATTCCACGGATTATTCCAAGCGTACCAGAATATTCCCACGAATATTCCTGGCGTAATCAAATGTCCGGTTTTTGGTTAACCCAGTCATCATAAAAAGAATATTCCATGTAGCGGCATGGAAAAGACTTAAGTATTGTTAGGAGAATGTGGGGATTACTCCTAGCCCTTATGGCCACTTATACCCAGGAACTTAACTTAACTAGCCATTATTAGTTACTGAGTAGATCAGTCCCACTCTAATCACTGATTAGCTTTGTCATCACAGACGCACATCTCCAATTGATATTTTTAACCTGTCGGTATATATAGTTATTATATGCGTAAGCAACAGTGATAGGTATATTGCAACTAAACTTATGAATACTCACTGGGAATGTTTTTAGATGGTGTTTGGAAGTTTTAGAGGATCATTCTAGGGAATATTCCCAATTAATATTCCTAGAATAAAGCGGATTATTCCTAGATGATAGCGCGTATTCCTTGAATATAACCAATTTGTAGAAAGAGAAAATTATTTATTGTTTTTTAAACATAAATAACATTCACTGGGAATGTTCCAAGATGTTGCTTGGAAGTTGTAGAGGATTATTCTATGAAATATTCCCAATGAATATTCACTGGAAATGTTCTTAGATGGTGCTTGGAAGTTTTAGAGGATCATTCTAGGAATATTCCTAGAATGAAGCGGATTATTCCTAGATGATAGGGTATATTCCTGGAATATAACTAATTTGTAGAAAGAGAAAATTAGTTATTGTTTTTTGAATAAAAGAACATTCACTGGGAATGTTCCAAGATGTTGCTTGAGGATTATTCTATGAAATATTCCCAATGAATATTCACTGGGAATGTTCTTAGATGGTGCTTGGAAGTTTTAGAGGATCATTCTAGGAATATTCCCAATGAACAAGCGGATTATTCCTAGATGATAGGGCATATTCCTGGAATATTTTCGAACCTTCATTGCAGTCTGGGTAAATGGAATGCGCAAACTTTTCTTTGGAACTAACGGCTTAATGTTATTTACGAATAGCAAACCTATATACTTTAAGTTGTTGATAATAAAATATACAGACTACATGCCTGTAAAAATAAACAAACAGGCTCATGAGATTTTTACACCACAAAATACTTACAACGAAAATTTTTTCAACTTAGTAATTTTCGGTTAAGTTGGCAATCCTAGTAGAAAATAGCGTCAATTTGGTTGCATCGTGTGAACACCACAGAGGCAAGAAAGTCGCTGCAACTGGTCGCCGCAACAAAGTCGCCGCGAGGAGTTGCACCGTCAGACATGGACTTAACGGGTGTGACACTGACACTGCGTTTTTTTCAGGATAATAAAGTGTTTGTTCATATAAATCAAGATACGTAAATTTACAAAAATAGTATAAAAAATTAGGTAATTAACTCAAACAAAATGTCAATAAAAACTTGTATAGAAAATCTTTTATAACGTCATGAATCGCGTAAAGGGAGCGACCTTAGAAAATCGGCAAATGCGACCAAGTTGGCTTCTAAAGTTAAAACTCTAAAATTTTGGAAGAAAGCATATACATGTAGTAATAACTTTTTGTGTAAAACTTAAATAGTAACCTTAAACAAGCACGTATTTAAAATGCACAAATATTTTATACTTTATTTTCTAAAATTTTCTCAAAATGTAGCGGGTGAACATTTTATTGAGTATTGAAACTCTTCCGTGTTTATTCTTAATGTTAGTTTCTTAGCCTTACAATGTAAAATATTTTAAGGTTATAATTTAAATTACGTCGCAATTAAACTATTTGACTTCAGATGTAGTAGTAGACTTCAGATATTTTTTGTCAAGGTGGGGTAAAGTTTTGCGGAAATACCCATTAGTGCTATTTTTTAATAAAAAAAATCAATAAAATATTTTTAGTAAGTAGAAATTTTGGGCCGCCACTGGTTGTTCCTGACCTATGTCAACTGACGCAAAATATTCTTGCACAATGGGCAATAATCTACATTTATTAAACATTTACATTTGCGTTATCATTGATTACTTTGTTGCAAACTCAGGTATTTTGCTTTGAATAAAACATTACTTGTTTTTTACTGTTAGGTATTTCGAGGTTTTCGTGGTCGATTTTAAAGTTCATTTTTCACTTTTTACGTCGATTGATGCTCATGTAGCTATTGTTTTAATCATAATAAATGTTCAACTATCCCGCCGTTATTATCCACACAAAGTTGACAGCGGCGTAGAAAATTATGATGTGTCGCTCTATCTTATCCGGATGATTTCGGATTTCATCTACCGCTGCAGTAACAAGTTCCCGATGTTGTTTTAATGTGTCAACTTCGCTGTGGTACACTAAACTGTTCATTTAGCCCCAGAGAAACCACAATAACCGAACTGTCAGTAATCAATGATAACAAAGTACCTACTAACCGATTTTAAATGAGTTTAAAAGTTTGCTTGATATTACATAATACACTGAGCGCATACCTATTTCTTTTTTGCTTGGATAAATAATATCATTGTTTTTAGAGGTAAAAACAATGATTATATATGGGATTTGTCAGGGACTTCCAGTGACTCCCTGTGTTTGTCAAAAAAATATCATAATTTTTTTATTAAAAAACAGTAGCTCTAATGCAAAAATAATAAAGGAGAAACTTTCTTGTTTTGGCGTGTACTATCATCCTCCAAAGGATGACAATTTATTGCGTATTGAACTTAAGGTTACTTTAGACAACTAAGTCTTTGCATTTAGACTAGTTCGGTTTCGTCAAAATCAGTAGATACATTCAAAAGTTATGGAACCTTTTTGAAAAAGTTACCTCAAGATTTTAAATTTCGCATTTTTTGCAAAACTGCTTGGTAGGCTTATTTGTAACATAGAAAGCTATCGATTTAACAACATGCAATTTATTTATGAACCACATGTTAAAATTTTGTTATACTACTGGTTCAAATGTGCTCCGCGAATTTAGATAGCTACATAGCTATTAAATAGATAGGTAATATTAATTTTTCATGCACTTTAGGCCTGTGTATTTTAATAGCTGCATCATAAATTAATTAGTAATTATATATAAATTTATAGATAAAAGTTCTTTTAAAAAAGTTTGGATTGTAAGATTAGCAACAACAACAGGTAAGCCCGCTGCACAATAGCCCGGTAACGGGAACAGGAATCCTAACAATAAAGGTGGGAGATACCAAAAACCCACTGTTGATAGATAGGGTTCGCTGAGTCTCTCCCACCTTTACCGTTTAGTTTCCCGTCCCCGCAGCGGGCTGTAGAATTTATTTAATGTCTATCATTGACCTAGGAAATCGTCAGATCGTATTTTATTAATAACGTTGTATAATATACATTTGATTTTAAATTTGTATTTTTTATATTATTAACAAACATCAACTTAACATCAAATGTACCCATATCATAAATATTAAGAAGTGATTTTTGTTTTAAACTGTCTACAAAACCATCCTGTTAAACTCTTACTCGCCTACTACTCTACTTAAGTAGAGTTTATCTGTATCAAAGAAAGAACGGCCGGGCACATGGTTTTTAAACCCTACAATAACATACATTTAAAAAGTAATAAAAATGTTTAAATAGTTTATTAAAATACATTTTTTTTATCATATTCATGATTGCAATCATAATTAATGATTTTCGCTTAAGCTAAAAGCTTTATAATAAGCGATTTTATACAGATGATTAGTTTATATTAGCAAAAGTAATTTTAAAACCTTTATTACCAAAAACTATTTGTTTAAAAATTTTCTTGTAATTCCCAGATTGTTAATATTTTAATATTTTATAATTTTTTACGTTTTTTGAGTTCTGTTTGGAAAACATTGTTATTACCTAAAATTAAATCTAGTTACTATTAAATACTTTTTGTGACTTAAACAAACTAACGCGTTTGACGAAAAAATTGATTAACAGGTCAGTTGTGGCGATACGTGCGCTCCAGTATGTCAATAGTGGGTATATTTCCACCACTTTGCGATCCGGTTGACGGACACATGCTGTCGGATGGTTGTTATGTAAATAACGTTCCAGGTAAGATATGTTGAATTAGGGAAACATTAAACAATATCACTTGTCTAAAATTTGTTTCCTTTAATTCATTCCAGCCCAAATGTTCCCAAGGTGGGAATCTCACCTAAATAAATTGTCTTAGAGCATCAAGCTCCACATAAAAAAGTTCCACTTTGACTATTGAATACAAATAATTATAGGTAATTGAGGTTATCTAATTTCGTTTTATTTTCTGAAAATAATACAATGTCTTAATGGTTTTAAAACCTCTATAACCTGATGGGCAACACAAACTTTTCTGAGTCGATTATTGTAATGGAAACATATTTTTGTTAATATTTTTTATTCTACTTCTTTTTCTGAACATTGGCATGTAAAAATATTGCTTTGACCGTTAAAAAAAAGTGAAATGTAAAAAGCGGTACAAAATCGCCTAGGAAGTGAGCTATGAAACGCGAGATTTTGATAAACGCCAATCTTTTAAATTCAGTATTTTGATGTGCCCTATTCGTCACAATGACCAATAATAAACGTACTAATATGTTGCAAGTTTATTTTGTGTTTGAAATATTTCCGTGAAGCTGCTCATGTTTACGGAGAGATCGTGTTTCCGAACCACCGAAAATTGGTAGGTTAGAAGCTAATTTGGGAAAGTTTGGTGCCTTTAAAAAATCAAAATCTCTGAAGGGAATTCGATGAAAACTTTGAACTGAACTCTCAATACATCCACAACTGGGTTCCATTAAAAAAAATTGTTGCCAATCAGGTTATAGGTAGTGGAATTCAACGATTTAATTTGGTTTTTAAATTTTGGTAATTGGATCAATCAAGAATCCTATAGCGCGCGCGGTGGGCGTTTTGCGTGCACCTCTGTAGTTTTTATTATTTTCAAAAAATAAGACGGAATAAGAGTTAAGCTTAATTATTGTATTCAAATGTCAATGTGGATTGTTTAATGTGGAGCCTAATACATAGTCCGAAATGATGAACTATGAACAGTATAGTCAATTGAATTGTACAGTATTGTCAATGAGGCTAACCACGTCAAATGTGTCAAAGAATTTTTATTGATTTCTAACTAAACAAAAAACACTTTAAATTATTTTTGAAACTTTAATTATTTAATATTATGGATTATCAAGTCGATACTCATACAAGTATTATACAATAAATATCAATGTTAAAAACCTCATCAATTACTTTAATTTATCAATAAATGAAGTAAAGCAAGCATTTTTGCAGCTGTGATGGTAGTATTTTGTTATTGTTTTAATTATTTTTCTTAGGGTATATTGTTACATTATTGGGATTATTTTATATTATTGTTACTAGTCTTAAGTCTCATCCTGTAAATGATATTTAACTGTTGGATGTAAATTAAATTAAATAAATAAATAAAATAAATAAACAGCAATAAGTAGTGCCAGGAACTATAGTGAGCAATATTTTGTACATACCTATTGGATTTGAAATATCACATTGAGCGACTTTAGACGACTGGGGGACGTGGCCCCCCAGTTTTATTGGGCCCTTCTGACCCTTACTTTTGACCTCCCTGCATTTAATCCAAATCAATAATTATATTCTAGCTTCAAATTATTTAACGTGTAAACAAAATATAAGATGGTAACTAAGCGTTTCTTGAACGACGCATAGAACATTGCTAGTGCAATGGTAGGCCTGAAAGGTATAAATAATTAAAATTGTTTAAATAACTGTTAATTAAAAAAAGTTTTGTTGCAAATAATATTTTTTGAATATAACCATCGTGAGTTATCATTTTTTTTAAATGTTGTGAAACTCTTAGGTACTAAAAATAATAAAAACGGTGCCATATGAGTATGAGTATTTGAGTATAAGAGACGTATAACCGGCCCCATTGCCTCATCACTCCCGGGCCCCGCATAGGCCTCTGTTTCATTGCGCCGATTTTCTTTCGCCACCAGCAACGGCGCGGCTTCACCCGTGTTTGCAGGTTGCGAATGTCCATTGCGTCCCGTACTGTCCCCTAATTAGGGCTGGAGAGCGAAATGCCAATAGTTTTAGTAGCCATTCCCGGGTTCGCCGAGCCTATGCTATACATACAGTAGGGTAATGAAGGAGGTAAGACGGGAGGAATAGACAGTTTGGTGTTTGGGGGACAATTACGCCGACTTAAAACTAAGTACGACGCGGAACCCCCCTAGACCTGGCAGTTAGTATTACTCCAAACATTTAGGATTACTGAATGGAGTTCGGGAGTTGTTATTTTGCAGCAGGAGCCTACGTCTTGGTTTACGTTTTTTTCGTTATTGTTCGTGTCCAAGTAGCTCCTGCACTTGTGTCCTGTCAGTCTTGAGGCAGAAAACCATCAATAGATATTTCAGTAGCTGGATATGTAACTTGTAGCTTTTGGTGTTTTTTTTAATTGTTTATTGCCGCAGTAGTGCGAAATTTCTAACAATTTTTTTTTAGTTATTGTGTTGCCCAAGCACGCTGTGTGGTAGAGTTTTGTCTTTTTTTCTTAAATTCCAAAATTAAGTATTGCATTTATTTATTAGTTAAACAAATGACAAGCGCAATTATTCTGTTTTTTAATGTTAACAAATCCAATAGAGTTTGATTATTATGCTTTTTTTTACTATGTTAGGGTTATATGATTAATGTGTTAGTTTATTCTGTGTGTCTAATATTTATTATTGGTCTCGTTTGGGTTTGCCTTACGTATTTGTTGTTGACAGATTTATTGTCCTACGCAGTGTGCCTTTCTTAGGGTTTTAAAGATATCTGTGGTGTTTAATTTGCAGATTATGTGTTAGGTCATGCATATGCTTAAGGTTACTTATCAATTTTTTTGCGGGCCACCTCCCCTCTTGTTTGACCTCCTTTGTTTGTCCAGTGAAAAGCGTTCAATGACAGGTGGCATACATATAGGACCCAGTGGCGGCCCGTCAAGGGAGGCAGGTGAGGCAGTGCCTCAATCATAGAAAATTAAAAAATTAAGTATAATTTAAATATTTTAATTTCTATAATATACTATAAATTTTTAATATTTGGATTACATGAATTGTGAAATAGTCAATAAAATTGATTGATTTTATACGTGGAATACCCAGCAACATTTAAATTATTTGAATTTGAAACGACTGCAATTTAAACTAATATTTATAGCTAGATGATTGGCTCAGAAGCATGCCTGAACTAATTTAGACTCACGATTGGCGTTAGCCTTGTCTCGTTCTATTACAATGCGATATCATAGTTGTCTCCTTCTCTCGTATTAGCATACGCGAGGCAGGCACGCCTTCATCGAAGGAAATAAGCAGGTGTTGTGGCAACACTGTTGCGGAATTTTAGATAAATTATACTTCACACGTTTTTCAAAATTCAATAATAAATGGTATTATTTTTCTTATAATAAATCGATTTAATCTAAATTATATTTCTATTCTAAAATAAACATATTTTAACACTATCGCCCTCTTGTAGCCATCACAGTAACCAATAAAATAAATACAGATTCCTTCTTTAGGTTTGTTTTGGTTATAAAATTCTGAACTGTTTATAGAACAAATCTGTGGTAATTTACGCAATATTTTGTTTATTCTTTTTCTATGAGTTTGTCTATTTTATGATTCTTTTGTAAGTGGTTTATTCTGTGGGTTTAGTTAATTGAACTTGGTGATTTATGTGAATTTAGTCATTATGGATATTACGGTGAGAAATTGTACCGATATTGTTGACCTTCACGTGGTTCTTGCTGAACAATGAAATATTAATTAGACAAAAATGAGGTATATTTAAAATAAACGTAATTTTTACAATAAAATATATTTCATTGACAAAGTAGAGGATTCCTTCCCCACCACAGTCTAATTTTTTACTTAGTTTTAAGTATAGGTTGTGAACAGCGACGTCAGTTTTTTTTAAGTTGGGTTTAAAAAAATTTCTTAGCCTTTAAATGAGGACTAAACCCTGCCTCTGCCTCACCAAAATGAAATGTCATGGGCCGCCACTAATAGGACCAGAAGCAGAAATCCGTTACTTAACTCATTCATATCACTTAACACTTCACTCCTCATTTTAGTTTGAACTTTATGAAAATTGTTTGTTTAACTATAATTGGTTTGCACTTTTAAAAAAAATATTGTTGGTTTTAATCTTTAAACTTGTACGTTTTTAGAGCTCTCGCTACATTGCGTTGTTCCATCTCAAGTGCTGGAACCTGACTGAAAAATAATAAAAACTGTGCCATATTTCAAAAAATTATTTGATAAGTTACAATTGTCGTTACTTTCCAAAAAATCAATAAAAATTAATTGACAAATTTAACGTGGTTTAAAAGGTCCTGAATTGGCTGAAAAATGTATTTTTCTCAGCAAAAATCAATCCACAACTTTGGTAGAATTGTCCCTTTTTATATCTAGGCTACTGATACCTACTAATGTCTACCTATAGTGTGATGAACATGAAAATCCAAGTCTATATAGAAAGACTTCATATTCAAAAGTCAAATTATTATTAAACTCCGTACAGAAACAAAGATAAAATATCATCATGTTAGTTAAGTCTCACCTAAAAATTATGTGACAGAATCATAAGAAATTATTTAATTAATTACTTATAGTCCAGGAAACAAAGATTGTAGAAGGAAAACTCGATGGTAGTCGGGTATTATTTTACTTTTTGAGGGGCACTTGCAATGAAAATAATTTAACAAAACTACGGATTCGTTACGAGGATAAATGTACCTAAAAATCTAGGGTAGAACGTTTGGGTTGGGTTTTTTTTAAAAAACAGCTTTTGAAAAATCGTTGATTCGGTTATGTTTGACTACCGTAAGGTTTGGGATCGATTTCGTTTAAAATTGCGATATAATAAAAAAACAAAAAAGTGATTTTGAAAGCAAAGCTCAACTTTGCACACTGAGCATAGCAAAGGGGCACTTCGTATAGGTGCGCAGTGAAGTTTAACGTTGCCTTATTTAGAAATTAGGGGACGCGGAAAGAAATTTTTGGAAAATATTCTTGATTCATTATATCAGCACCCCTGACTCTCCCTAAAAAAAATTAAAACATGGCTACCATCGAGTTTTCCTTCTACAATTTTTGTTTCCTGGACTATTAAAAAAGAAGTATATAAAACCCGGCAGCGAAAGCTTATTAATTGCCTCGCACACAATCTACTGCCTCGTCTATCTGGCAGTGAAATGTTTGCTCGGCGATAATGTGTGCTTATGTCTATAATTTACTATTTTTTGCGCCTGCAACTAGGTACCTTAATATAAACCCGAAATAACACCACTTAGGTATTATTAAGGAGACAGAATAATTTTGATTTTTGATTTTCTCGTACATTTTATTTATTAAACCTGTTTTAATTTTTTTACTAAATTAATAATTGCGATATTTTTAAACAATTTAGCCGACGTTATGCGTAGTCTTGGGGCGAATCACATTTTAGCGATAGACGTCGGATCCGTTGACGATCAGGATCTAACGAATTATGGTGACGACTTGTCTGGTTGGTGGCTGCTTTGGAAACGATGGAATCCGTTCACGGAAACCGTTAAAGTGCCAAACCTTCCGGATATACAGTCCAGACTGGCTTACGTCAGTTGTGTCCGACAATTAGAGGTAAATAAAATTATTTTTTTCTCACATGTATGACCCTAATTAATAATGATTTAAAAAATAAAAAATATTAAATTTAATAAATTAAATACAAATTTTTGCAATACTAAAATCGTATATTTTAAGTAATTCCTAATACGGATCCATTGTCTATTCTGTAAAATCATTTAATTAAAAAGTATTAAACAAAATAAAATTCGAATTTTTTGTGGAAAATACAACAGGGTCGACAATTATTTTATATGAACTCCGTCCACGACGGCAAAAGCTTATTAATTTTTTTTCGAGCTGCTAGTTTTTAAGTTATAAAAGGGTTTTAAATTGTTTTTTTTTGTTATCTCAATGTTTAAAGTAGTCATATGAAAAATCGTTTTTTTATTAAATTTGAAAAAAATTGTTTTAAAAAAAACGTTAATTTCTGAAAAAGGACAACATTGTTTTTTTGTTTTTTATGAAAAAAATAAACAAGACAATTCATGACAAGGACGAGTTTCGCCATCTAGGAACCATACGAACTCCAAGCTTGGACCAAAATACTTTCGGAAAATACCGTATTTTGCTTTTGTTGATGAATTTAAAACGCACGACATACCAAACTACAACCTCTTCTGCCGTCATCTAATGCAACTATTTCCAAGACATACTCTTTTCCTACGAATAATAAGTAACAGATTAAATATCGATGGGTTCACAGTCATACTGCGTGCAATAATATATAATAGAGACTCTCTATTAAAGAAAACAATGTTTCTGAAAACCGCTTTGTTCTCTTTTTACGACTGGTAGTTTTTGTTACAATTATTTATATAAAAGGGTAAAAACAATTTTCCGAACACGTTTCAAAAATAAAAAGTTACAATTTGTTGATAATAATAAAGATTATATGCGAGTCAGAATTCGTTATACGGATCATCAAAAATTGATGGTTCTTGTTTTTCAAAATAAATTTAGTTTAGGTAAAAAATACGATTTTTCAAATGATACTGATTTTTTTTCACTTACTGTTGTAAACAATTTTCAGTCGTTTGTTTTTTCATTTAAGTATTATTTGAATATGATGGAAATAAATAAAATTTTGTGATTTCGTCAACCTTCTATATTTGTTAAATTATGAGTTTTTATTTATAATTTTTTTTTTTTAACATTGTTCTGGAGCATCGAAAAATATGAAAAAAATCACAATTATAGTTTAGACCTTTTTAAAACACATATGTACAATTGAAAGTGTTGATATTTTTTGTGGAAAATGCATCATTTAAACTTGGCCCTGCATACCGTTATCTAGCATGCGGTATGCATATTCATTCATAAGAAGCAAAAGGGTACAAATGCAAACAAGGGAATTGGAGTTATACACTTTAAAAGTTTTTGCTATATACAAAAATCTGGAAACTTGTTTCAATATTCTTGTTTACATTAATTAACATGCAGAACTCGTGCAATTTTCACGTTATCAGAAAAAAAAATGATGACTCTAAACTACCCAATTCTGCACTTAACTTATATTAACTTATATATTAAAGGGTACAAGTGCATTTTATCATGAAAATATATTTTCATGATAAAATGCACTTGTACCCTTTTGCTTATTATCCCTTTATATGATTTGTTTTTTGTTGACAGTTCTATTATAAAAGTGAGAACTCATTTTCTAATCTCATTTACTAATTGGTTGGCAAAATAAGAACTAAAATTTGCAAGCACACTTTTACACATCCTCAACCTTCTTATTTCACATGACATAAGTGGTATCGGATAATTAAAGTCGTAAAATGATTATTATTTGAATTATGCCAAAGTACTGAATCGCAATGCAATCGTCATAAATATGTTTTACTTACATTGTGAGTAAAACACATTTATGACGATTACATTGCGGTACAGGACATCGGCATATCATAACAAATTTCTGGTAAACATTCAATTTTCTTAGTTTCTTCAAGAAACTTTCTTGACCCATTACTGGTAATATTCATAAGAAAGAATTGAACCTACACCTCGCCAAAGTTGTTTGTTTTGAGTGCGTTCCACTAACTTCAAATACCGACAGACAGCTGTTTCGACCTATATTGGGTCTCATCAGTGTCGGCCAATTTGGTGTAGTGGAACACATCCAAAACAAAGGACTACGTGAGCTTGTTTATTGCGTTGGTAAGCCAACAGAGGCGAGATGTAGGAACATCACGTGATCCACACCGTCTAACGACGTGGCCTTTGCCGCAATTGGTACATACTATGCAACCAAGACTGCACACGGCAAATTGTATCACAAATACTAATATGGCCTAAAGGAATCTAGAATTAGCCCAATCGGGCTAAACGTTAAGGTAAAGATTCAATTTTTTTAGTTTCTTCAAGAAACTTTCTTGACCAATTACTGGTAATATTCATAAGAAATAATTTAACCTACACCTCGCCAAAGTTTTTTGTTTTGAGTGCGTTCCACCAACTTCAAATACCGACAGACAGCCGTTTTGACCTATATTGGGTCTCATCAGTGTCAGAAAACTTGGTGTAGTGGAACACACCCAAAACAAAGGACTACGTGAGCTTGTATACTGCGTTGGTAAGCCAACAGAGGCGAGATGTAGGAACATCACGTGATCCACACCATCTAACGACGTGGCCTTTGCCGCAATTGGTACATACTATGCAACCAAGACTGCACACGGCAAATTGTATCACAGATACTAATATGGCCTAAAGGAATCTAGAATTAGCCCAATCGGGCTAAACGTTAAGGTAAACATTCAATTTTCTTAGTTTCTTTAAGAAACTTTCTTGACCAATTGCTGGTACATGGCCTTTGCCGCAATTGGTACATACTATGCAACCAAGACTGCACACGGCAAATTGTATCACAGATACTAATATGGCCTAAAGGAATCTAGAATTAGCTTAACCGGGCTAAACGTTAAAGTAAACATTCAATTTTCTTAGTTTCTTCAAGAAACTTTCTTGACCCACCACCGGTAATATTCATAAGAAAGAATTGAACCCACACCTCGACAAAGTTTTTGTTTTGAGTGCGTTCCACCAACTTCAAATACCGACAGAGAGCTGTTTCGACCTATATTGGGTCTCATCAGTGTCGGGCAACTTGGTGTAGTGGAACAAACCCAAAACAAAGAACTACCTGAGCTTATGAACTGTGTTGGTAAGCCAACAGAGGCAAGGTGTAGGTTAAATTATTTCTTATAAGTTTTAAGACCTTTATACTATACAGTATATAAGTCTAAGACCACCGTTATACAGTTATAAAGTAGATTGGAATGGAAAGAAATATAATGCTGTTTTTCATGAATAAAATATAATATGAGAATGAGTATAAGGCACGTATATAGGGCCCATCGGCCACGCCCCAGGGTTATTTTACCCCCTTTTAGTTCTCCTATCCGTATCCCGTCACTGCCCAGCATTACCTGTGTTTGTTGGATCCGAATTTTCACCCCGGTTAGTAAATCTCGCCAAGGAGGTCGTGGGTGACAGTGTAGATGGTTAAGGCCACTCCCGGAATTTTGTCGCCGGGCCGGGCCATACGCCCGATTTAGACTAGTGGAGTACGGGACAAGAAGGGAAAACATTTTGGTTTTAGAGGGAACTAAACTGACCCAAAACTAGGTACAATCCGAAATCCCCCTCAACCAGGGATTTAATTACCCAATTCAATTGGGTTAATGAATGAGGGTTGTGTGGTCAAACGCAGATAGAACCTATCCTAGCTGGTCTTTTAGAACTTCATGTTCGACTGTGTCCGAGTCGGTTTCAAGCTTGCTGGCTATCGACCACGACGCACCCACTGTGCGGTTACTCAGAGACATATTACGCCACTTTCGGTTGGTTATCTAATTTATGGTCCCCTTATGTGTGCTTTGAAATCTACATATGCTTATTTCTTTAAGACGTGTTCCTTTTGCCTAGTGTTTTTATTAACTTGATTGATTTATTAATGTTTTTATGGGAACTGTTGGCGACTAATTCATTTTTACCTAGTGGAGTTACTTGTTGCGAATTTCGCATTAAATTTTATTGTTTGGGTATTAATTTTACTTATCTGTTTATGCAGAGTTGGACTTGAACTGAAGAGAAGCATTATACCTAGGCAGGTGTGGTAAAGTTATTCCTTAACCTCGACCGCCCACTATTGGCACACCTTGTTTCTGTGTTGGTACTTTTGGAAATTATTCGTTGTATCTAGTCACCTCACTCACACCCTTTTATCACAGGTAGATCACTCTGGGACTTAATTTAGGCTGAAGGGATACATGCAATTTACACCCGTTTTGCACTTGGTTCTGTAAATCACGAGTAGAATTTTTTATTTTATAAATTTGAACCGCGGTAGCGTGGTAGCCCTATATGTGTACGAACGCGTTATACGAGAGCCTAGGCACGACACGACCTCGAGGTGTGAGGAGTCACTATGAATAAAATTTAATATAAACATAAATTTAATAAAAACCTAAAATGTTTTGGTAGTATTTATTCAGAATCATGCATCAACCACTTCATATGCAGGTCGATTATAAAAATAGCTAGAGTTGTAGGCTACAACTTGTAGCGCCAAAATGGAAAATTTACTCAAAATGCGTAAGCGACCGGGATAAGTTCAATTTACCAAAATTGCGTGACCTTATTAATACCCAAATAACAAATTTTATTACGAAATTCGCACAGCATAGCCAAAGAACTCATAATAAAGCTCATAAAGAAGCCATGAATCACAAGTTCAGATAAACACTAGGCAAAATAAGCTCATCCTAAAGAAATAAACATCTATAGATTACTAAGCACATTTAAGGGGACCATAAATTGGGTGACCAACCGAAGTGGCCGACTCGGACAGAGACACAAACACATACGAACAAGAAGTACCTTAAAACCAGCAGGGATAGGTCCCAGCAGCGTATTAACCAATTAAGCTCCATTCATTAACCCCAATTGAATGGGGTTTATACTAAATCCCTGGTTGAGAGGAATTTCGGATTGTACTTAGTTTTTGG